ACCAGTTTCTCTATAACAAAAATCTGTATTTATCTTTTATTTCTTTTTCTTTCTTTTTTTTTTTTTGCTATAGAGCATGTGTGCTTGTCAGAGCGAATAAGATAGTCAGTGAGAGGGAAAGTGAAAAACTACTCCCCAGAGGGGGATGGCCAAATTGCAATCCCTTGTCCTCCATTCTCCTCCTGGGATTTTAGCCACTGGGTCCAGGACTCATACCAAGTTAATTGCTACATCACCTACTGGTCTTAACTGCTACGCCACCTGCTGGACCCTGTATTTTTCACTTGTAATGGACTTGCACTGGTTGTGGACAGTGGTTGCCTGACAATGATCATATTTCACATAATTAATTTTTAACTTCTGTTGCATCTCAGTTTCACTATTAAAGATTTATCAGAAGAAACACTACATAAGCTATTTTGCTCAGACTCAGTTGCAGTGGAGACATACTGGTTAGATATTGGACTTGCAAGTGCAAGGAGACTAACAAACCTTGAAACAAGAATTCTCAACTCATTGCCCATTTGAGTGGTACAGAAAGACAAAAATGGTATAATCTGGAACATATCCATGGTCTTTATTAATGAGGTCAATGCTGTTTCCCAGAAGCAATTATTTAGACTAATGATGAAGGTTGTCTATTATTTAGGGATAATTCCAATTGTAAGTTCTAAAAAATGTAAAGTGGCTCAAAAATAGCAAAAAAAAAAAAAGTCTAGTATTTGGTATTATTTCAGTTGCTCACTGGTGCTTTCAAGGATTCACATTCATTATACCTGATTTCTCATGTTTGGCATGCTAGTCTTTCATCCTAATACTTAAAAAAATTATTTAAAATTAATTTGGATGTTGGGACCAACACTTGGTGTAATGGCTATGTGGCTGGACTCACATGTAGTAGACCGCGGTTTGAGTCCTGAACCTGGTGGCCTAAACTCACACCTGGCATGTGTGTGTGCATGTCCAAAATCCCATGAGGAGAATGAAGAAGGGATTGCGGAGTGGCCATCCCCCTGGGAGGTGATTTCTCACTTTCTGTCTCTCTATCTCTCTCTGTCTTTCTGGCAAGCACACACACCCTATATCAAAAACCTCTCCCCCTCAAAAAAATTTATTCAGATATTTTACTACTGTGTACCTAGACCTGACTAGATACTTAATGCATGGAAGCTGAGAAGCAAGGTGAGAAAGTCAAGTAAAAGAAAAAGAAACAAAGGGGAAAAGACAAAAAAATTATTTATTTTTATTAATTAATTTATTTTACATACTTTCAGTGGACATCACAACAGCATACAAAATGTGATTTTTCCAGCCAGAATACACTGTAAAGTGATTTAATCATACATGTTATCATCAACAAATAATTTTCCATTTGTTGTTTCTTGTCTCCCCTCCCCCCCCCAATTTCTCACCCTCTGCCATTTCCCATCCTCTTTCCACCCTGTCTTTGGTTTCTGCAGTTGTTTTCCACTCCTTTATTCTTTCCCACATTGTATTGATAAACAACATATCTTAAGTGATCTAAATATGGTCAATAGTAAGTATATATATTATCATATATATATATATCATCTTGCCAGAAAGACAGAGAGAGATAGAGAGACAGAAAGTGAAAAATCACCTTCCAGGGGGATGACCACTCCGCAATCCCTTCTTCATTCTCCTCATGGGATTTTGGACATGCACGCACACATGCCAGGCGTGAATTTAGGCCTCCAGGTTCAGAACTCAAACCGCGGTCTACTACATGTGAGTCCAGCCACATAGCCATTACACCAAGTGTTGGTCCCAACATCCAAATTAATTTTAAATAATATTTTTAAGTATTAGGATGAAAGACCAGCATGCCAAACATGAGAAATTACTTATAAAGAATGTGGATCCTTGAAAGCATCAGTGAGCGGGAACCAGTAGTTAGCGTAATGGCTATGTTGCTGGACTCCCACGTAGTCGACTGTGGTTCGCGTCCCGGACCCAGTGGCTTAAAACTCACGCAGGGCATGTGTGCGTGCATGCCCAAGATCCCGAGAGGAGAATGGAGGAGAAGGGATTGCGGCGTGACCATTCCCTCTGGAGGGTGATTTCTTGCTTTCTGTGTCTCTGTCTCTCTCTGTCTGTCTGGTGAGCGCACGTACCCTATAGTGAAAACCTCTCAAAAAAAAAGCGTCAGTGAGCAACTGAAACAATACCAAATACTAGACTTTTGTTTTGCTATTTTTGAGCCACTTTAGTATATATGTGTGTGTGTGTATATATATATATATATATATATAACTTTAGTATATGTGTGTATATATATGTGTGTGTGTGTATATATATATATATATATTTAGTATATGTGTACTATGGGTAGAATGAATATACTACAAAATAGCACATAACTGAGGCTATATAGCTAACTGTGGTCACTAAATAGGTATTTTAAAATTCTCTTTTAATTTCAAGAAAGGCAGTTTTAACTTTAATAAATCAAGATTTTAAAATGTTAAGAGAACTTTGCTTAATACTTAAAGTCAAGAAACAGGTTAGGAATCTGTTCAAATAGTAGGTACATGGACCTCTCCACAACTTGAGAGAAGACAAAGCTCCTTAACACTGGGAAAAAAAACCATAGAAGGTCAGTAATGTTTTAGTCAAAACTCATAAAACTCTATTTCACCAGTTCAAACTTATGTATTTTATCTTCTGCCATGGTCTGATCTTTCCGTTTAAATTCTGAAAGATAACGTTCGACTCTAGACTTATCCCTACCATTAAAGCTGACCATTTTATTAGTTGTTTTAGAACTCTTATTTCTCTGTGTCTGACTTTAGTTTTCCTGGGATAACACCCACTTCAGCACTTCTTGGAGAGCTGATCTGGTTTATCTCAGAATGTTCTTGTCTTCTCTTCCTATAGGAAGGATAATCTTGCCAGATAAAGTATTCTTGGTTGAAATTGTTTTTCACTCAACACTTTGAATATATTTTCCCATTCTTTTCTTTTCTTTTTATTTATCTATTTATTTATTTATGTTCCCATTCTTTTCTTGCTCACATTGTTTCTAATGAGAGATCCGCTGTTAGCCTGATGGAATATCCTTTGTAGGTAACTTGACGTTTCTCTCTTGCCAGTCTGAGTTTCTTGTCTTTGTCTGTGATTTTGGCCATTCTGGCTATAATGTGTCTTGTAGAAGATCTTCTTTTTTTTTTTTGGAGAGATTTTTGCTATAGGGCGCGTGCGCTTGCCAGGCAGACAGAGAGAGACATAGAGACAGAAAGCGAGAAATCACCCCCCAGAGGGGATGGTCACGCCGCAATCCCTTCTCCTCCATTCTCCTCTTGGGATCTTGGACATGCATGCACATGTGCCCGGCGTGAGTTGTAAGCCACCGGGTCCTGGATGCGAACCACGGTCGACTACGTGGGAGTCCAGCGACATAGCCATTACGCTAACTGCTGGTTCCCTAGAAGATCTTCTTGGGTTGATCCTCTTTGGGGTCCTTTGTATTTCTTGGATCTGGATATTTGAATGCCTCTCTAGGTTTGGGAAGTTTTCTTCCAGGATTTTATGAAATATATTGTCAATGCCCTTATTAATCTCTTCATCTTCTGGAATACCGATTATCCAGATGTTTGGAAGTTTAATGGTATCTAGTATTTCTTATGTATTATTTTCATTTTGGGGGCTATTTTCTCAGTCTTCATGGTGGATTTTACTAGTCCAGTGATCCTGGACCCAACTTTGAGAACTCAACTTCAAAAAAACTGAGACAATTTTGGCCCAAGGACTTAGGATTCAAGAGCCAGATCCCACATGACTCCCTGTGGTTTTAGTCCTGGCTTTGTGGCTTGAAAAACATGTGGGGGCACATGAACACGTGTGCTCCAAATACTGACAGGACAGAAAAGAGATTATGGCATGACCATGTCCATTTGGAGGTACTATCTTGTCTCTGTCTCATTATTTCTGTCTCTCTCTAGTGAGCACATGTGCCCTCTGGAAATTAAAAAAAAAAAAGCTGAAACACTTAAAAGCATGAATTTTCCAATTTGCTGAAACCCTTTATTAGTGTGCACAGATTTCCAGATTGTCTAAATTGGAGAAGCCTTAGTGGAGCTAGGTGTCTGAAAATGGTGTAGGTGTTTTATGGATAGGTACTGAAAAACACTGGAAGTCATTCTTTTGTTAAAATAAATTTTATTTTGGGGTAGCTTTTCTTCAAGCATTTTGAGGTTGACCTTTGAGAAGTACCAGCATTGCCATTTCTCTTCAGTGTATACCTGAGTGAAACTGCAGACATCTGACATCTCTCAATGTACTAGCCCCCTTTTTTCCCCATTTGCCCTGTGTGTACTGATGCTATTAGAAAACTCTTTTTCCCCCCAGAAAACTCTTATTTTATAAGATTTTGTGGAAATTCTGAAGACTATTGAACTCTCATATGCTTAGTGACTTGCCTAAATGATTCTAGTAAGTGGGAGAGCATCCAATCCAGATAGATGGACTACAAAATCGGTGACAATTTCCCACATTAATAATTAACGTAAGAAGTCCATTTCTTTTCCTTCAGAAAAGGCTGAACCATTGAAGGAGCAGCCAACACATGGACAAACTGAGCATACTTTTTCAAAATGTGCCAAGGAAACCAAATATATAAATTTAGTGCTTTAAAAAGCTACTTATAAGGACCATTAGATGATGTAATGGACTCCCACCTGACTGATTGTGGTTCAAGTCCTGGACCTGGGGCTTCGAACTCATACTGTGAGCATGTACCCAAAATCCTGAGAGGAGAATAGAGGAGAGAGGAGAAGGGATTGCAGTGTGGCCATCCCCTCAGGGGGGTGATTTCATGCTTTCTGTTGCTTTGTCTCTCTGTCTCTCCAGTGAAGAATATACACCCTATTGCAAAAATGTCTCTAAAAATATATGGAATAGGTGAAAGGAAATGATTATGAATTATTTTCTATTGAATAGCCTTCCAGTTTTGTTTCCTTCTGGTTTCTCATGTGGCATCATCACTGAGTCCTCTTGTTTGGAAGACAAACCCTTTGGATCCGGGACACAAACACCTTCAGAGCTTCCTTGACATCCTTGTTGCGGAGTGTATAGATGAGAGGATTGAGAAGTGGGGTGATAACCGAGTAGAAGATAGCCACAATCTTGTTGACATTTGACTCATATTTTACTGCTGGGCGCACGTACATGAATATCAGAGTGCTGAAGTAGATGGTTACCACAGAAAGATGGGCTGTGCAGGTGGAAAAGGCCTTGCGTTGAGCAGAAGCTGAGGTCATGGCTAGAATTGTAGCAAGAATTTGGGCATAAGAAGCCATGGTAAAGACCAAGGCTCCTAGAATAATGACAGTGCTAAAAGCATAGCCCACCACTTGGATGGCATATGTGTCAGTGCAGGAAAGGCGGAAAATCTGATCAGCATCACAGAAGAAGTGGTTGATCTGGTTGGGTGTACAAAAGGAGATTTGTGTAAGGAGGAATGAGGGGAACATGGGGCAGATAAATCCCACAGACCAGCAGAATGCAGCCAGAATCCCACAAGTTTGGGGACTAAGCAACAGTGGATAGTGGAGGGGGTGACAAATGGCGGCATAGCGATCAAAAGCCATGGTAGTGAGGATGAAGAGCTCAGTGGCAGCCAAAGAAAAGAAGAAGTAGTACTGAGTAATGCAACTGGGAACAGAGATGACCCCTTGAGAACTTAGAAAATTGGCCAGCATCTTGGGCACAGTGACTGTGGTGTACCAGAGTTCTACCAAGGAGAGATTACAGATGAAGAAATACATGGGGGTGTGGAGGTGCTCATCCAGGACCACAATGAGCACAATGAGTGCATTGCCTACCAAGGACAAGAGGTAGACCAGGAGGAAGAAGGAGAAGAGAAGCAACTGGAGATGTGGGGAGTTGGAGAATCTCAGGAAGACAAATTCAGTTACTAGCGTGCGGTTGACTGTCTCCATTCAGCCTGGTGGGTCAACTGGACAAGAAGGGTAGGGTGTATGAGGATCTTAAGTTTTGTGGTTATTTGTCCTCATTCCATAACTTTAGACATATACACACTCAATCTCTCAGTGTTCTCTTTAATTTACTCCTTGGCTGTCTCTTCAAAGCAGAGAGTACTCTTAACTATTTAAAAACAGCATACTAAATACTCAAGGTCATCTCTCTCCTCTCATTGAAATAGATCCTGTAATATCACATTCCCAGGAATTCTCTCCAGATTGGTTAGAGGAGAGAACTCTGTATCAATGGCTGTCGATAGACTGAGCATGTAGCATGCCTTGCTTCTATATACAGATTGAATCATATGTTGATATGTTAATATCAACTTATTTGACATAAGAAATAGAAATTTCATATGACTCAACCCAATACTTCTAAAGATTGCTTTCTGGACTTAAGAGTCATTAATATCAGGATTGCAAAAATATGGAAGTTTATTTTTCTTTTATCTGCTTGTTATGTACACATAGCTATGAATCAGTGGTTTTGTCTTATGTCTGCAGATATCAAAAGACAAGTATAAGAGTGACAGTGCATTTCCTGGGCCAGCCAGCTGAAACCCACATAGTCACCTGCACAGTTGGAGTCCCAGCCTGATAATCTGAGAAATGTTATGGGTGCATGTGCATGAGGGGTCCAAAATACTGAGAAGAGAATGAAGGAGAAGGGATTGTGGCATGGCCATTCTCCCTGGGGTGTGCTTTCTCACTCTCTCTCTTTTTCTGGCAAGCACACATGCCCTATAGCAAATTAGTGGAAAAACCCCAACAAAACAAAAAATACAGAGTACATTTTGTGTTACTCAGGTTCTAATATAGCACAGAATAGAGATACTTCATGGACACTCCTGGATTCTGGCAGAATTATCAGCAGAGTAGTAAATATCTTACTTGAAAGAGTGGAAGAGTAACTTAGGCTGCAAGTCCCAGGTGAGGATTTTGGTATAGATTAGGATCTCTGAAGTGAGAACAGCTATAATTGAAATGTGCTAAAACCCAAAATGACCATAAAAAGAAATTTCAGAGGAAATAGGCTTGAGGCTTATAGTTAACATTGGAGTAGATAATGATTTATAGTATTGATGTTGTCAAGATATGAGTTCTACATAGATTTCCAATACCTCAAGTATTCCTCATTTGGAATGCCTCTAAAAATGGAAATATAAGAAATATTAATCATGAGCCAGCTGGTAGCATGGTGGTTAAGGTAACTAGATCCCACATGGCCATCTGTGTGGTTTGAATACTGGACCCAATAACTTGAAAAACGTGCCAGATGTGAGTGCATGTGTACCAAATCCTGAGAGGAGAATAGAAGAGAAGAGATTGTGGAGCGACCATCCCTCCTGAGGGTGCATTCTCACTTTCCCTCTCTCTCTCTCTTTGTATCTCTGTGGTGAACACATGTACCCTACAGCAGAGAATTAAAAAAAATCATAAGTAGGAGTTAAATTAATATACTATACATTAAGGGCCAACCTTGTAGTCCAGTGGTTGAGGGAGCCAGATCCCACATGGCTGACTGAGTTCAAGTTGTGGTCCTATGGGCTTGAAAACATGCCAGGTGTGTGTGTGTGTGTGTGTGTGTGTGTCTCCAAGATCTTGATGAGAGGGAGAAATGGAAATGGGGGATTACACTGCTACCATGCCCTACGGTTGTGGGTGGGGCAAGGGTGGTGCTTTTTCTTCTCTCTGGTAAGCATATATGCCCTGTCAATAAAAACAAAACAAAACAAAACAAAACAAAACAAAACAAACAAACAAACAAACAAAAAAACACTGTAGGGCCAGCAGGGGGCATGGTGGTTAAGGTGCTGGACTCACATGACTGACCGTCATTTGAGTCCTGTACCTGGTGGCTTGAAAATTGCACTGGGCTTGTGTGCACACATGCCCAAAATCTAGAGAGAAGAATGAAGGAGAAGGGATCGCAGTGTGGCCTCCCTCCCTGAAGGTGATTTCTCACTTTCCCTCTTATTGTCTCTTTCTCTCTGGTGAGCACATGTACCCTATGGTATATATATATATATATATAAAGATAAACCCAGTATCAGATATAATTTGGCAAATATTTCCAAGATGTCATATTCTCAGTGACTTTAAAAGAAAAGTTTCAGTTTCCAAATATCTTAGCTTCTTGTTTAAGGTAGCTGAGTCCCACATGATTGAGCACAATTGCAATCCCAGCTCTGGTGGCTAGAAAAACATGCCAGGTGCATGTGTGTGTGTGCCCAACATCTCAATAGGATGGAGAAGTGGAAAAAAGGAACTGTGGCATGACCATACCTCATTAGGGGGGTGCTTTCTCCCTCTCTCTGTCTTTGGTGAGCGTATTTGCCCTCTGGTAATTAAAAAGACCCTGAATAACTTAGAATTAATAAATTTTTAATGTCATAAGAATTATTTTATTTTAATATTAAAATCTTTATTCAGATATATAATTGAGAAAAACTAGAGAAGATGACAAGTATTAAAAAGAAAATAAGAATCACCTCAATTTTTTTCATTCAGTGATAGTCATTTATATTTGTGAGTGTTTATTTATGGGCTACTTTATTTGCATGAATGCATTTGCACACACACACACAAATGCACACTTGAAATTGTGAAAAGAAATTAATTTAATTGTTCATTCTTTACTTTCCATTCTCCTGTCACTATCTTGGTCTAGGCCCTTGGCCACCCCTCCCCCCCTTTTTTTAAGACTAAACTTACTTTTTATTTACTTTATTTATTTTATACATTCAAGCAGTGTATGACAACACCGCCACTTATAAAATGAATTTTCCCAGCATAATATACTACACACCAGTCCAGTTGAAGATATTATCATGCATGTTATCATCAACAGACAATCTCCCATTTCTGAGTCTCTTAAATTCATTTAAGTACACTAAAAGTTCTAACTATGACTCTAGTACTCATATTGGGCGACCTCCTGGCATATCCCTGGTGGTATTAGGCTTTTTTAAAATTAATTAATTAATTAATTTTCATTTCATTTTCTTCCATACATTCAATCATATTATTATTACCTTGGCCCCTTTTTTGCTCATGGTGCTACCACTGAAGTTCTTTATTCTGAAAATATGGATTCATGTAGAGTAACTCTATCCTTCTCTCCTTTCTTATCTCTATCTTCCCTATCTCTGTCTCCTTTCCTATCTCTATCTCTCCCCTTCTGACTCTTTTGAACAGTTACGTTGATTTTTATCTCAGAATATTTTCTCCTTTAGGTCCTTCTTCTCTGCTTCTGTTGCAACAGTTTAGAATAAAGCTAGCATTCACCTTGACTAATGAACCAGTTCCCTGAGCCAATCAGTTTCATTTATATATAGGTATTTGTGTCTTACTCTATTTTCACGCTGTTTTTTAAGCTTATTTATTTCTTCCATGAGGAAGGAGAGAGAGACAGCCCCCCTAATAGGGTCTTGACACTATATTCCACCCCCAGCCTCAGCCAGCTCTGAATCATATATCTGTGTGTAACATACTCAGGAAGAGCTTCAGATGCAAACTTACAACCTTCCTTTGTGAGCCTCACAAAGCATCAATATTTAAAATTTTCTATTGATTTCTAAGACATTACAGTTATTACCTGTTAGAATTTCTGGAGTTTTAATGAATTGTATGAGAGTATGTATGTGTGTGTGTGTGTGTAATACACACTGAACATGCACTACAATATCTAATCTTCATAAGACCCTGCAAAGTAAGTATTATTACCTTCATGACAGATGAAGAACTGAGATAGAAATTAAGTAAGAATTGGAATCATGTCTCAACACCAGGTCTTCACAGTCTCTGGTGTTTCTATACACCAGGCTACCTAGATGACAACATCCAAACTCCTTAGAAGAGAATGTAAGATCCTTCACAATCTGGGATTTAACCTGTTTTCAGTCTTACGCATTACCCTGCCTCTCCTATACATCAAGCTCTGATATCTTCTCACAGTTCTGATTTTATGCCTCCATGTCTTTGCAAACTCTGTACTCTTTCTTGCCAAAACCCCTCATTTTTATCCATCAAGTCTCAGGTCGAATTTCACCTCTCTGTGAAGCCTTTTCCTGCTCCAGAACTGTCAAATCCTTCGACCTTCGTGCTTCACTAAAGCAGTTTGTCTATTTCATGTTATAACACTTATCACAGTGCTCTCATAATACATTTGTTTATATCTGTATTTCTATTGTTAGAGTTGAGATACTTGAAATCAAGAACTCTATTACTCACGCTTTTATAATGAAAGCTTGGGGTATTAATTGGAACAAAGAGAAGTAAAAATAGAATGGCAAATGAAGGAATTAATGAATACATCATTAAAGCTGTTTCCTAATTGATAACCATTTTGTATCTCCTCCAAAGCATTCTGAATTCCCTGCTATTAATCTTCTACCACTTTCTGTTCTAATATTACTTGGCTAATTACACAATGACTCCCTATAATTCATTATATGAAATTACAACCTCTTAGAATTCTTTTGTAAACACTGCTAAATCTGACCCCACTATCTGTCTATAAATGTGTAGTTTTAGGTTTACTAGTGAGATTATTCCTATTTCCCCAAAGCTCATTCTAAGTCCACACTTTCTGAGAAACCTTGCCCCGTCCCAGAAGGAACTGCTGAGTAATGTCACGTTAGTAGACACAGAGCCATCGTTTCACCCTTTTCAGACCCCAGGTCATTATGGAGAAGGCAGAATTTGTAAATACAGGCTATACCCTCCTCTGGACTTCTAAAGGTGGAAGAGGGTATGTTTTCAATTTAGAAACCAAGGGAAAAAAGGATGCCTGTAGAGAGGACTGATTTCTGGTTTCCTAGCTAGTTGCCCACTTAGCGACCAACCAAGAAGAGCATACTATCCATATGCTGATGTTTGTCTTCCATATCTCCTTGATACCAGAGAAGGTGGGTGCAGGGAAAAGGAGAGGGTACGAATGGCAAACCAGGTTCTCT